TTGGAAGGAAAAGTCAAAATAAGGATAATATTTTATTACCTGTGGAAATGATATGAAATTCAAATGTTTGAGTCCATAAAAAGTTGTACTGAAATACAGCCACACTCCCTTATTATGAATTTATTAGATATGGATGCTTTCAAGAAAAAACAGCAGGATATTGTCTAATCTTGATGTGAGGATGGTTTTCTAATCAAGACATAAAATTCAGGAGCCATAATGAAAGAAAACTGACAGATAGGATCATATAAAGCTTAAAACCTTCTGGATAAAGTGAAATACCACAAAACTCTTAAAAGAAAAACTAGCAGAAGATTGAGAAGAGTTACTGATGGAACCCAAGATTTCTACCCTTCAGTCACAGATACTGCCTCCTGGGCCTACCCTTTTTCTCTCTCAATTTTGTCACTGAAAAGAAAAGTAAAAAGTTCTGGGGGCAGAGGTGAGAGGATTGCCTGCACCCAGGGGTTTGAGACCAGCCTGAGCAACTTGGCGAGACCTCAACTCTATCAAAAAAATTACCCAAGCATGCTGGTGCACGCCTGTGGTTCCAGCTATTTGGAAGGTTGAGACAGAAGGATTGCCTGAGCCCAGCAGGTTGAAGCTGCAGTGACTGTGAGCATGCCACTGCACTCCAGCCTGGGCAAGAGAGTGAGACTCCAACTCAAAAAAAAAAAAAAGTTCTGGGGCTTTTTGTGCAGGTCAAGAGTTATGTCCTCCTAGGAGGTGTGTCCATTCTCTCCACTAGTGGTTCTACTAAAGGTGCTAGAAAGAACTCTGTATAGTTTATTTGAAATGTTTATCCTGTCTCCTTCCAGAAACACTCAGATTCAGCATGAAGAACACACTGAAGGAACAGAGCAGAACAGTGACAATTTAACTAAATAAAGCTAAATCTGTATTTCAGTTGCTAGGACAGATCGTTACTGCATGAGGTAGGGTGACCAACGTGTCCAGGTTTGCCTGAAAGTCCCGCATCTCAGCAGCCTCCACTTCTACCCTTAGTCCCCAGCAAACTGGGAGGCTGGTCACCCGAGCACAAGAACAATCTATTTTCCTCTAAGCCAGTGACTGTTTTCTTTCTTTTTTTTTTTTTTGACTATGGATCCCCTTGAGAATCTGATGAAGATGATGAGTTCTTTCCTTAGGAAAATATTCAAACTTACAGGTTCATAAAATTTTGTTCAAAGATTTCAGACAGATAAAAGTTTTCTCTAAAAAAAAAAAGAGTTATATTTTAAAAACACTTTTTTCTTGGAACTACACACAAGAAGAAATTCATTGCAAGGTCCTATTAATAAAGCATGGTGGTGTGGACGGTATCTTCAGTCATTATGGAAGCTGCTCCAGTTACCCAACCCCAGAGACCTTCGTAAGGCAGAGAACACTTAAATCATAGTTCATTAGGAGACTTCTTCCAGAACCTGAGAGGCTGTTGTCTAGCCACTGGTATTTCTGGGATTTTACAATTTTGTGTTGAAAGAGAACTGAAACAACACAAATGCAGTTAACCTGTTCACCAGACTGTCTTTCTCATATCATTTATAAAAGTAGTTTGGTACTTACCATGCTCTATACAGACCACTAATTCTTTATGTATATTATGTTTAATTCTCACAACAGACTCATAACATAGTATTATTAACTTTATATATATATATATATATACACACACACACATACACACACACACATATATATATACACATATATGTATATATATATGGAAACTAAGCTTGAGAGATTTGAGTAACTTGCCAGAAGTCACCAACAATGGGATGCACGCCCCAGATTCAAACCCGTGACTCTGATTTTTCCATTACTAGTGTTTCTCAAAGTCTGGTACAAGAACCACCTGTTAAAAGTGCAGTTCCAGCCGGGCTCGGTGGCTCAGCCTGTAATCCCGCGCCTTTGGGAGGCTGAGGTGAGTGGATTGCCTGAGCCCGCGGGTTTGAGACCCGCCTGGGCAGCGAGACCTCATCTCTACAATAAATCAAAAAAATCAGCCGAGCGTGGTAGCGCATGCCTGTAATTCCAGCTACTTGGAAGGCTGAGGCGAAAGGATCGCCGGAGCCCAGCAGGTCGAGGCTGCGGTGGCCCGGAGCGGCCACTGCACTCCAGTCTGGGCGACAGAGTGAGATTCCAACTCAAAAAAAAAAAAAAAGTGCAGTTCCAGGGTCCTACTACAGACCAGACCTGCTGAATTAGAATCTCTCAGGAGGGAGGGGGGAATCTGTATTTTTAGAAAGATTCCTGGACAACCTCTTTCAGGTCCCCTCCCGCTGTGGGAGTTTTTCTTTCTTCTCAATAAATTCCACTTTCTAGAAAAAAAAAAAGATTCTCAAGGGAATCTTGTTTGCATTGGTGCAGACTCCTTAATGCCAGCTGTGCTATATATGCCATTGACACATGCGGGATCTCGACATATCTGTAGCCCAGTCATTTAACAAGCACAGACATTGTGTGTTGACATGAGAACAGATTACTTGAGGAATAAGAAGCATGGAACACATGCCTGACATGCTATTGTGGGCTACCAGAATAAACATACCTCGTCCTGTCTGAATCATTAACTTATGGGCTGAAGTAGTTAAGAATGATGTCATAGAAGGGTGCTCCTTCACCTCGGCTGTGCTTTGTAATCAACCAGAAAATGTTAAAATACTGATGCCTCGGTCCAACCCACAGATATTCTGATTTAATTAGTTTGATGTCAAGAGTTTTTAAAGCCCCCCAGGTGATGACTGTGTAGCCAAGTTAGAGCACTACTGTTTTCAATAGTGGTAAGTACCCATCAAAAGTAATTTTTTTTAAATTGTAGATTGTTGCTAAATGGTTCCTACTGGCAAAAGATTTCAGTCTTTAAATCAACGTCTTTAAATCAACCTGCATCAGGAACTCTTACCAATCAGAAGCACTAGGGTTGGGCCTAGCAATCTACAGAGGGTGCCAAAAAATGTATACATTTTTTAAGAAAGGAAAAAACTGTATTAAAATTGTAATAGTATATACCGATAACAAAAGGTGAAGACAAGTCACATTTGACTTCTGCAATTACACATTGCTACCGTAATTCAATTCAACTGCAAAACATAATACATAGGTGACACCTCTTAAAATGTATATACTTTGGGGGGGCACCCCTGAATTTAAACAAGGCCTCCAGGGGCTTCACTGCATAGGTGAGTTTCAGAGCCACTACCCTAAAGAGAGAAGAGGAGCATCGTGTACAAGAGTGACCTCATGGTTCTAAGGTAACAAGACTTAGCCGCCCGCTTTCCTATTTTTACAAGGCCCCTCCTTGAACAGGTTGCTTTGCACAAAGCAAGAGGCGTTATTTGCCTTCCCGTTATTGCTCTGTTGACTGTTCCCATCCCCCACCAGTTGCTGCTGACCACGACCCTGTCCTGCAACGTAAGGAAAATTTGCTAAAATCTTTTAATGCTACTTTGCTAGAGAAGGAAGAGGGTTTTGTTTTTGATTTCCTAAAAACGTCCTGCTGTTATCTGTTTGCTAAGCCACAGATATTAGTCTTGTGTTGCTTCTAGGACAGAAAACGTCGATGTTGATTCCAGTGCCCAAAGGAAGTTAACCCCTTTCTTGTTCCATCAATGCAAACTAGGAGAACATAATCCGGTGACAAGGCCTCCGCATCTGTGCATCTCTCCTTGCACATACATGGTCTAGGGGTCTTGGTGGGTCCTAATAGACCAGGATTTTTACCTTGTGAAATTTTCACAGAAAAGATTCACGTCTTTTTTTCTTTTTTCTTTCTTTAAACCATATCCCTATCTATGCTGCAAAACTGTGGGTTCTGGGAGCAATGATTAACCATTATCTCCTAGTCATTCTTAGTGTATAAGGAAGAGATTTCCCTTCTCAAAGATAAAAAGGGAGAGACAGACTTACGGGGTGAGTCCAGCAAGAATGAATTTTTTGTCTCTCTTTCAAGCTGTTTTATCTGCTGAGTGTTTGGAGATCATATTTCTCAGGTGTGTTTTCCTGCAAGGCTCAACTGACTCACCATTGTCATCTCCAAGCCCAAGATGAGACATTTGGTAAACTAAGCCATAAAACGAATGCTACATAAGATCGTGTATGCTTTGGAAGACATTTTCATCCACATTTGAAATTACACCATGCCCCCTCGAGGCCCAGGGCTCGGCATTCTGCTCCCATTACATCACCAGTGCTGAGGGAAGGAAGGACGTGCACCTGGCACTGCACTCTGGCAGCCAGGCAGGGCATATACCTCCTGGCTACCGAATACCTACTTTCCTGCTCAGGCGAGGTGGGTTAAGTGCTCCTGTCAGATAACAAGTCTACATCTGGTGCCAGGCCTGGGGGGGTGCTCCTTGGATCCCTGGTGGGTTGTGAGCCTTTCCACCCCACAGCAGGCCTGCCATGGCTGACAGGCAGCAGTGCAGCGACAGCCCCCTTGGGAGAGTTGGGCAACTTGATGCCTGTCAGAGACTACAAAGCTGGGGGGAAGGAGGTAGGGGGAAAGGGGAATTTGTTTCCAGACTGAACATAGAGCAACTGAGAAATCTGTTTCACTCCCTGGCAGAACTGTCTCTGAATGTTCAGCTTTGGTTTTCATCCCGAGGAACTCCTCCCAGGGACCCCTCACACTCTTTCTCCCCACCCTCTGTTGCCTTTTCTTGAATAACTGCCTCACAACAAACTGATTAAAATGGCCCCAGGGAAGGTTTCTCTCATACAATACAGGAAGCTCAGCGAAAATTGAGTTTCAGATGAATAACCTATCAGGATATGTATATCCCAAATATTTCCCTGGACATACTGACACTAACAAATTATTTGTCATTTATTTGGAGCTTGATTTCACTTGGGTGTCCTACATTTTTATTTGCTAAATCCGGTAACCCACTCTAAGACGTAGATAACAGGAAAAAGTGCATGATGGCTTGTGACCCAGCTAGGGCTACTGACAGGCTCACCAGAGATCGCTTTTACAGGAAGAGAAACCACGCACTCACCATATCGGCACCTGTACTGACAGACTCCGTTCTTCCCTCCCAGCAGCTCCAGGAAGGAATCGAAGTAGCTGTTGACGGATTCAAAGCTGCCTCGGATGTGCCGAAGGCCCCAGTCTGAATAGGACTCTTCTGCATCAGGGCTGGTGTCACTCTGAGCCCGGCCACCCTCCAGGCTGAGCCACAAAATCAAGAAGCCAGTGGCCAGCTTCATCCTGCAGCTAGATGGGCACTGAGTTCTCTCCTCAAACCCCAGCCAGTGTCCCAGAAGTCCACGTACAAACCCTCCCCACCCCTGATGGCAGGCAGGACTGGGAAAGGGATTATTGGGAACACTCAATCTGTGTGTGTTCCCCAGAGGTGGACTTTAAACATAGCTATGGAGGTTGGGATGAGATCAGGGCAATTAGACAGAGGGCAAAGGTTAGGCAGTGGGAGGGCCAGAGAGAGAACACTCCAAAGTGGATTCTGCGAGCCTGGAGGAGGGAGATGTTGACCAACTCCGAGGACGCAGGAGCAGTGGAGCCCTTGGAATTCTACCCCTGCCAGTTTGTTAATCTATTGATCAGTTACCAGTGGGCTCTTCAGGGCCAGCCTCTTGACACAAGAGCTTGTCCCAAGGTCCTCGCCACACCCTTCAGGCAGTTACCCACACACAGTCTCTAGGGAGAGTCAGGAGGATATGTAAAGGGCCCAGGAAAACCCCAGTGATGGGGGCAAACAGTGCGGCTTTTACCAATCAATGGTCAGGATATTGTCAGTGTCCTCTATGTGTGCATTTAGCAGAGTTCAGATTTGAGACCCCAACTTCTGCTTTGATGCTTACTTCAGGCTCATAAATCCTCTAATCAGGCTGAGATCCTAAATGTAGCAACCTGAGTGCAGGACCTTTTGCTTCTATTTACAGTAGTATTTTTCTTTTTACTCAACAGTATTAGATAAAAGATGATAAATCTAGAGATGGTCCAAGGACAGTTCTGGGGACACTCAACTCTCCTGATGATGTTTCTCTTTTGAGTTACTTAATAGTCAGGGAGTAACTGGGCACGGTGGCTCACACCTGTAATCCCAGCACTTTGGAAGGCCAAGGAAGGAGGATTGCTTGAGCCTGGGAGTCCAAGACCAGCCTAGGCAATACAGAGAGATCTTATTTCTACCAAAAAAAAAAAAAAAAAATTTGCTAGGCATGGTGGTGAACATCTGTATTACCAGCTTTGAAGCTGAGGCAGAAGGATCACCTGAGCCTAGGAGGTCGAGGCTGTAGTGAGCCATAATCATGCCACTTTACTCCAGCCTGGGAGAAAGAGTGAAACCCTGACTCAAAAAAAAAAAAAAAAAAAAAATCAGAGGGTTTACCAAATAGAAAGCCTATTTGAGATTTTAAGCTTTTAAGATTGTTGAATGAAGTCTAGGGCTTTGGCATCACTTTTAGTTTATACTTTGCGCTTAGTCATAAGAAGAAATACCATCTACAGAATCACTAGTCTATAAACATGATAACTTTATGGTCCTGATGAATCATTTAGCTTCTTTCTCAAATGTCTGGAAAGGCCCATGGAAAATAAATCAATTAAATTTCTTCATTTTAAATAAGAAATGTGTTTGGCCAAAGACGCAGACTCCAAGAAGGGTCATGGTTAAAAGTTGTTCATATTAACAAGAACAATGCCATCCAGTGTTTTAAAGCACTTGTACTTTTTCAAACCACTTTCATGCACACACACACGCAAGTATGCACATCAGGCCCGGCGTGGCGGCTCATGCCTATAATCCCAGCATTTTGGGAGGCGGAAGTGAGAGGATTTCCTGAGCCTGGGTGTTCAAGACTGGCCTGAGCAACTTGTTGAGACCTCGTCTCTACAATAAATAAAAAAGTATCAAGGTGTGGTGGCATGCACCTGTAGTATCAGATACTTGGAAGATTGAGGCAGAAGGTTTGCCTGAGCCCACCTGGTCGAGGCTATGGTGGCTGTGAACATACCATTGCACTCAACCTGGTGTGACAGAGTGAGACTCTGACTCAAAAAAACAACAACAAAAAAAGGAATTCACATCTATTCTATGATGCAGGGTAAATATTCTATTTGAGAGGTAAGAAAACTGAGATACAGAGGTTAAATGACTTGGTCAAAGTTGAACAAGCTATCAGTGGTAAAACTGGGACCAAGGCCAGCTACATAATTTGTGAAGCCCAGTCAAAACAAAAATGCAGAGCTCCTTTCAAAAAGCAGGGGAAAAGCGCCATGAAAATACTAAATAGAAAGCCTTTTCCAGGTCAGGTGTGGTGGCTCATGCCTGTAATCCCAGCACTTTGGGAGGCCAGGGTGAGAGGATCACTTGAAGCCAAGAGTTTGAGACCAGCCTGGTCAACCTAGTGAGACCTCTGTCTCTACAAACAATTTTTTAAAAATTAGTTTGGCATGGCGGTGTGAGCCTGTAGTCCTAGCTACTTGGGAAGCTGAGGTGGGAGGATCACTTGAGCCCAGGAGTTCGAGGCTGTAGTGAGTTATGATCACATCACTGCACTTCAGCCAGGTGACAGAGCAAGACCTTGTCTCTAAAAAAGTAAAAAACAAATAATGAAAAATATAGAGAAAACTTTTTCCTTTAAAAATGTTTTATTATTTTTAAAATATAATGGGTAATAGTGATAAATGAGTAACAATATAAATATAAATTTAAAAATATTTTTGGTATCATAATTTTATTTTATTTATTCATTTTTTTCTTTTTGAGTTGGAGTCTCACTCTGTCACCCAGACTGGAGTGCAGTGGCCGCTTCGGCCACCGCAACCTCGACCTGCTGGGCTCCGGTGATCCTTCCGCCTCAGCCTTCCAAGTAGCTGGAATTACAGGTGCGCGCTACCACACCCGGCTGATTTTTGATTTTATTGTAGAGATGAGGTCTCGCTGCCCAGGCGGGTCTCGAACCTGCAGGCTCAGGCAATCCAATCACCTCAGCCTCCCAAAGGCACAGGATTACAGGCTGAGCCACCGAGCCCGGCTATAACCTAGATTTTCATGCAAACTCATTTTGCCAACAAGGAAGATGAAACCTTGTAAGGGTTAAATGACTCTGGTATACTTTTAACATCTCACCATGTTTCTTTGCTATGACT